TTGTCAGCAAGCTGCCATTGAGTGGTGTGCTCTATTCTACATGTCACCTTATGCGTCCCCCCCCCCCCCCCAATGTTTCTTCCTGAGTAGGTGTTTACTGTCTTTGCTTGCTACGCTGCGGAACTGCTCAAGGTCACACAGCTGGAGGTGGGAAGGAGTTATGGCGTTGCTTTGCTTATTATGTATTTGATGCCTGAGAACTGAACTTGTGTTTATGTTGTAGAACCGTTGGGTTCCCAAGGAATTGGGCGCTCGTTTTATCTACATTCCCGCCAGCGGGAATTGGGCTCATTGGCTCTAACCTGGTTCAAGTTCCTTTATTATGTTTCCCTATGAGACTTGTAGTCATTACTAACAATTCTTCTGTTCCCAATCTAACCATCGCTTTACAATAAATTCTACTTTGTTCATCAACCGTGGATTTATTTTGAATGCATGGGGAATCGGACACCTACTTTGTAGGATCATAAATTGTTTATTCATGATCCTTAACTTTACACACGTCGTCATGTGTCTTTTTTGTTTTTCTTAGAAACTAGATGGGATGGTTAAAGAAAAGGACAGGGAGCTTCAGGAATTGTTTGCGAAGTCTCAAAGTCTTTTAAATGATAAAGCCATTCTCCAGAGTCAGAGCGAGGGCTTGGCGAAGGAAGAGTGTGCTGCTGAGTCTCAACAGCCCCTGATCAAAACGTTCCAAGGATCTGAGGTAGGGTTTACTCCCTCTCTTTTCTTTTTACCTTTCCAAATGAAAACGACTATTGGAAATGTTGCCTTCACGCTGGTATTTGTGTGTTATAGTAAGGATAGCCAGGGGCTCTAAGCCAAGTGGGAGCTTCTCCTTTTTGAGGGAATGGCAGAGGTTGTTTTTGAGCATCCCATCCTCATGAGAGGCTTGAGCCTATACTGGTTGCACATCCATCCTCGCAGCTGATCATGGCGATAATGGGACCCCAAGGGACTTTGCAGCTGGGCACAGCTGAGCACACCTGGCTTGAAGGGTAAGGAAATGTCCTGGGAGGAAGTGAAGCTGTATTTTCCATGGATGTGATTAGCACTAAATCAGAACTTCAGGTGCTGTAACTTGATTTCTGATCCTTCATCAGACTCTCCAGTGACCACGAGGACTGTAAACTGGCTTTAGTTGTAAACAGGGCTGATTTTTAGAAGGTTCCTACTTGAGATTCCATCTACCACGTGCACAGAGGTATGGGTTATGTAAACAAATAGTTCCACCAGTGAAGGAAACAAGGTTACTTTTGGTAGATTGGTGGAAATGAACGGTACAAGAGACACTGAAATACGTTTTGGGATGCGGTAGATTGGACTGAAGAGTGGTGAGGATGGAGGATGGATAAGCTGTAGTTAGATCCTAGGCAAGAGAGGAGGCAGCAGCTAGATGACTAAGGAGGGTGGATGGCCAAGAGCTGCAGCCCGCTGAGGGGCAAGGAGCAATTAGAAGCTTGGGGGGATTTATCGTGACAGTAGCTCAGAATGTCCTTCATTATCACAGCTGGGTTGGGATCAAGAGTTTTAGCATTACAATTACAGTTGCCAGTTCCAGAGCCAGCCTGTTGTCTTCAGCAAAGACACCACTTTGAATACGATCCTTGGAAATTGTCTTCCCTGTGTTTTTGTGGGTGTGTGATTAATCTGCAGCCTGTCTGTCAGGTCTCATATTGCCCATGTATACGAACTGAGAAGCAACTATGGAGTGTTGGCTGTGATGGGAAAGGGATTTTGCCCCAGTTCCAGAACTGGTAGTGAATGAATGCTACCTACAAGCCAGATGGGGGAGGTTTTCTTTGTCAGTGTTTGGTGTTTGCTTTGGGTGAAGATTCTCGGGGTTAGGCAAATGTGTAGCCTGCCGTATACTTCCTTTGAATCCTTCCCTTGTTCCAGTATTGAGTCTACTGTATGCAGGGCTTCTTCTTCTTCTTCTTTTTGAAAAAGGGGTGCTGGAACTCTCAAGAGGGAAATGATGTTTTCAACCTGTATACCGAAAACTCATGAACTTTTAAACATTTTAAAAGAATTTTGTTGAAGAGGTTCTGGAACTCCGTTCTGGCACATTCTCCCAGGGAAAAAAAATCCCTAACTGTATGTGCCTTGATGTGGCTAGCCCAGGCTTAGTGGGGTCGATCTTAGTCAGTATTCGGAAGGGAGACCACCAAAGAATACCAGGGTCATGACATGGAGGCAGGCAACGGCAAACCCACCTCTGAGCACCTCTTGCCTTGAAAACCCTACGGGGGACGCCATAAGTCAGTTGTGACTTGGGCAAACAAAAAAATTGCTTGTCTGGTTCTGCCCTAAGGTGAACGATGGGAGCAGCTGTGTCTTGGAAGGGAGAACACATGGCAGGTTCTACACCCAAACAAAGCTTTCAGCACTTGATTTGGGCATCAGGAAGGGGGAGCACTGTTGAGAGTGGGAGGAGAGTGGGAGGATGAAGGTGAGAACCAGCTTGTCTGGTTCTGCCCTAAGGTGAACAATGGGAGCAGCTGTGTCTTGGAAGGGAGAACACATGGCAGGTTCTACACCCAAACAAAACTTTCAGCACTTGATTTGGGCATCAGGAAGGGGAAGCACTGTTGAGAGTGGGAGGATGAAGGTGAGAACCAGGCAGGAGTCCTCTGTGTGTGTGCTCATACACACGCACAGACCAGTGAGACGAGGAGAAGTGAATTGTGCAGAATGCACTAATGTGCTCTGTTGAGATATACCAGTGTTCTGTAGTGGTTACAGTGTAGGACTAGGGAGTTCTGGATTCAAAATCCTGGTCAGTTATGAAGCTCACTGGGTAACGCTGGCCTCTGTCTCTTTCCTTCCCTCCCGAATCTACTTTACTGGTTGGCTGTAAGGGTAAAATGGAGGGGAAAAGATCGGTGTATGCTTGCCTGAAATCTTGGGAGAAAGAGTGGGTAGGAACGTGATGGATAATAAATAGAATGTGGTGAATAATAGAGGGGTGGGAATGCTGTAGGACTGTCCTGTGCTTTACCTTGCTGCAAAGTGCATTTTGATCTGAAATGCAGGATTAAAAATATAATAAATGTAAAGTGCGACGTCTGGAGAAGAAGAGCAAAATGAGGGTTTCCACCCATGGGCCCTGTCCCCTTGCCAGTGGAGCTCATAGCAGTTGTGAACCCACCACTGCAAATTCCTATGTTCAATCCTGAGATTTCCCATAGTATTCCACAAGGTTTGGCAAACCTGTTGCTTGAGATGAAATCCTGCCCAGGGTTCTTCTGTCCGTGCCTGTGTTCTCAGTTCCATTTCACTGATGCAAAACAGACGTGTTTCCACCTTTGAAAGAATGCAGTCCGGGACAGAAAAGTCTCACCTTCAATTATCCAAATCCAAAATAAATGCACTGGACTTTTTTTAAAAAAGAAGTTGACTCTTCTGATCTCCCAACCTGGTGGGAGGGTGGTTGCAATGTTTAAACGATGGCTGCTGTGGCAAATGATGCTGTTGACAGTAATGACATGCCCTCATCTGCTAATCACACCCTGTTGTCTCATGCTTCAGTTCCTGGGTGATGGAGACAAATAGGTAATCACAGCCCATTCTCCGCAGGGCTCGACCAGCATCTAAGATCCACACCACCTCTTCAAGACCCCCACTGGCATATTAATAAATACCTCTCCAGTCACAATGCCTTCTGATAGGTTTCCTTGACCTGTCTGGAGTCCCAGTGGCAGCACTGAACCCCCAGCAGTTGCGCAGCCAGGATCTGGGCTTCTCTTCTTGTAAGGTTTATCCTTAAAGCTATTTGCCTAAATTGAAACATGCATCACATTATCCAGCCCAGATCTACTTTTTAAAAAACAGTATAGCCTTTTGCAGTTAAATCTCTTTGAACACCTAGAATGGATGTCTGCCAAATACACGGGCAGAGTTTAAGAAACTGAATTCTACAAGTAAATCAGTCCAGGGGGCTTGTTTTTTGGGTCAGGTGTGCACTAGAGCAGCACAGCATATTGTTGCAAGGCATGCAATTCCCTGCACTTGTACCCAGCCATCTGCAAAGCAGACAGAGGGAATAATGAGAGACTAAACACAGGCTAGCATCTTTTGCTTTGCTCTGGTCCCAATCCTGTGGCCTTCTGCTTCTCTGTTACTTTAATCACCGAGGGATGGGTTGTAGAAAAGAGCAAGAGTCCAGCAGTGCCTTAAAGACTAACAAAAATTTGTGGCAGGGTATGAGCTTTTGTGAGTCACTGCTCAATTCATATGCCTGAAGTATCTGAAGAAGTGAGCAGTGACTCACGAAAGCTCCTACCCTGCCACAAATTTTGTTAGTCTTTAAGGTGCTACTGGACTCTCTTGCTCTTTTCTGCTGCTACAGGAAGACTAACAGGGCTACCCATCTTGATCTAGCTATAGGGGATGGGTATACATGCGATCTCCTGGTCCCAAGAAGGCACGCAATGGAAAGGGTTGCTTGGGAGCATTTCCCCCACTTCTGTTAAGGATATTCTCCTTTGCTTTGGTTTGGGAACATGCAAGTCACGCCTGTTGTCTCAGGTGAGGTCCCTACAGTCTGTTCTTTTGTGTGTCTGCAAGTTGGCTTCATCCCAGCATCACTGTGGTGTGATGGTTAGAGGGTCAGGCTCAAAGCTGGGAGACCCCTTTGCTCTCATTGGGTGACCTTGGGCAAGTCATTCTGTCTGTCTGAGTTTGACCAACCTCCCAGATTTATTTATTTTTTTGAGTTGGTGGGAAATGCAATGAATGCTCCCCCATGGAGGAAGAGAAGGCTGAAAGGTTTTATAATGCTGCCTTTTGTCATTTTACAGTAATAGCCATTTTTGTTTACCACCCTGGCTGTCAATTTTATGGGTGGAAGGGTAGGATATAAATAATCTAATACAATAATGAAAGGGTACAAAATAAATAAATCATAATAGCAGCGCAGTTATCGTGCAGACCCCTGCTGCCAGGCCTGGAAAACAAACTCGATGCCTATTTGTTTCTATTTAGAAAACAGAATACCCCACATTTCTTCCAAAATCAATTAGCACCCAAGGCGGTTTCTTATTTCTTTGAAACCGCTTTCGGCTAAATTAGCTTCCAAGGGGCCTTCTACCATCTGTGTTGAAACAATAAAACATCATCAATAAACAAATCAGACAACCAGCTATAAAACCTTGAAATACTAGAAATAATTGTGGCAATAAAGCTGCAATAGAAAGAATAAAACAGGAGCCTTGATGAACAGTCAAAAAGCCAAGAATAAAGAGCAGTAGCCTATAAATGGTCCAAAGGCCAGCGGAGCCTTAAGAGATGTTAAAAGGCCAAAACAGCATGCAAGCCCATTAGTTAAGAGTGTGTGAACCATCTCTCTGCCAAAGGCCTGGCATACAAAATTCTCCATCCATAAAACCAGTAATTTAAAATGAACTGTTAAAAACAGACAATTAAAACTAGCAAACAGTAGTAGCCACATTAAAATTCAGTGCAGCATTAAAACCTTAGGTGGAATGGGTCATTAGCAGCATAAAACAGCATCCAGCAAACCCATGACCACTTGCTTACTCCCACATGTGCAAAGATGTAAAAACGCCTTAACTAGAAGTGAAGGGGCCAGCGAGCGTTTTTGTAGGAGAGCTTTCCTGGGCATGTTATTTTTTTAAAACCCCCTTTGTTAGCTGTTGAGATCTGAGCAATTCTTTTGCTCTCATTCCCTTTACCCAAATGTGA